CGGAGTAACGCAATAAAAACGATTACATGATGTAAACAAGATTCGTTTATCTATATGGTGGTAGATATAGATCTCATCTTTTTATCCATACTAGAAATGATACATACGTGTCAGTTCCCTTTCTATCACAGGGATCGAGCACCGTAAGATCGAACCCACTACCGGGCACCTCTTCCCATTGCAAGATAAATAGATCAAGTTGGCCAAACAAAATCCAAATATCAGAGAAGAAATACGAGGCTATAAGAGATCATGCATATAAGAGATCAAAGAAACTCAAATAACTTTCATGGATATAAAAAGATATAACTGATCATAAACTCAAAGTTCATCAGATCTGAACAAACACATCGCAAAAGAGTTACATCATTTGGATCTCCAAGAGACAATTGTATTGAGAATTCAGAGAGAGAGAGAGAGAAAGCCATCTAGCTACTAACTACGGACCCGAAGGTCTACAAAGAACTACTCACGCATCATCGGAGAGGCACCAATGGAAGTGGTGAACCCCTCCGTGATGGTGTCTAGATTGGATCTAGTGGTTCTGGACTCTACGACGGCTGGATGAGTATTTCATCGACTCCCCTAGGGTTATGGTATTTTTTGGGGTATTTATAGAGCAAAGAGGCGGTCCAGGGGCTCCTGGCACGCCCTGGTGGGTTGTCCCCTCCTCGGGACTCCTCCCAGGTGCAACCAGGGCCCACCTACTTCCTTTTGGCACATAAAAAATCATCATGAAGTTTCATGGCATTTGGATTCCGTTTGATATTGATTTCCTACGATGTAAAAAACATGGAAAAAACAGCAACTGGCACTTGGCGCTATGTCAATAGGTTAGTACCAAAAAATGATATAAAATGATTATAAAACATCCAAGATTGATAATAAAACAACATGGAACAATAAAAAATTATAGATATGTTGGAGATGTGTCAGCATCCCCAAGCTTAACTCCTACTTGTCCTCGAGTAGCTACGTGATAATAACAGAATTTTTGATGTGGAGTGTTGTTCATCAAGTCATGTCATTTTATTTTCATTATAGCGTGGACATTTGGACTTTTATGTGATTCAAAACAATACTCTAGTTTTGTCCTAATAATTTATATACTCAAGCATATCAACAAGCAACCATATCTTTTGAAATATGAACGCTAAAATAAGTTATCCCTAGCCCATCATGCTCAAACATTGATCCATTCATGAAACACACTCGAATATTAACTACACCCAATACTTGAGCAAGATCATATTGCCTCCTAGTTGGTGCTTTTTATTAGAGAAGATGGAGACTCAAATTTCAAAGTAAAAATTGCATAAAGTAAAAGAAAGGCCCTTCGCAGAGGGAAGTAGGGATTTGTAGAGGTGCCAGAGCTCAAAGCGAAAAATTAGAGATAAAAACATTTTGGGAGGTGTATCCATCCCACCAACGGAAACGACTTAGAGTTCCCAACACTTTCCATGCTAGATATGCCATAGGCGGTTCTCAAATAGAAAATAAAGTTTATTCCTTTTTCCACCATTCTTTCACTTTCCATGGCTAACTGTATCCATGGGTGCCCTCCATACCAACACTTTCCAAGGAATTTTTTATTTGACAACATAAAGTAAATATTTTTTGCATTTCGGGACTGGGCATCCCTAAGACCTTTGCCTTACTCTCGTGCAATGGCAAATGAATAAATACTCATCTTGAGAATAACACATCCAACATGGAAAATATTAGCCACCCATTATCATTCCGCGAGCGAAACAAACAGACAAAAGAGAAGTTTATTTTGAAAATTAGAGATGGCACATGCAAATTTGCTTAGAACGACAAAATAATACAACATATAGGTAGATATAGTGGACTCATGTGGCAAAACTGGTTTAAAGGATTTTGGATGCACAAATAGAGATCATACTTGGTGCAAATTGAAGGCTAGCAAAAGATTGGGAAGCGACCAACCAAGAAACCAATGAACTCATAAGCAAGCATTAAGCATAATTAACACCGAATAATGCACCACAAGTAGGATATAATTTTCATTATTGATTATTGACTTTCATGCATGCATAGGGAATCACAAACCTTATCACCAATATTATTACTAGAGCACAATTACTCATCAACATAACTCACATATCACATCATCATATCTCAAAACTATTACTAAGAATCAAGTTTATTTTGTCCAATGATCTTCATGAAATTTTCTTTTACTTTATCCTTCTTGGATATCTATCACTTTGGAACTAAATTTTATGTGTTGCTTTTCATAAGCTCAAACAAATATAAGTGAAGATCATGAACATAAATTTTTTTCTTTCTCTAAAAATAATTTAAGTGAAGCAAGAGAGAATTTCTTCAAAAATAACAAAGCACACCGTGCTAAAAAAGATGCAAGTGAAGCACTAGAGCGAGTCCTAGCTCATAAAAGATTTAAGTGAAGCATAGAGAGTAATTCTAACAAGTCATGATATAATTTTGGCTCTCTCAAATAGGTGTGTCCAGCAAGGACTGATGACTTAAAACACAAAATAAAACAAGCACAGACTCATATCATACAAGACGCTCCAAGCAAAACACATATCATGTGACGAATAAAAATATAGCCTCGAGTAAAATACCGATAGTTGTTGGAAGAGAGTGGGGATGCCACTCGGGGGCATCCCCAAGTTTAGTTGGTTGCTCATTCTTGGATAATAGCTTGGTATTCCGGGGCATCCCCAAGCTTAGGCTTTTACATCCTTCCTTCATCCATCGTAAGATAACCCAAAACTTGAAAACATCAATCACACAAAACTCAACAAAATCCTCGTGAGATCCGTTAGTGTACGACCATCCCGGTGCGTCCATCGCTCGAAAAATAAGTAGGAGCACTGCTTGCCTGGAAAGCCGCCCTCAGCAACCAAAGCCAGGACTCCCTGCAATCCTGGGGAAACATGTTGTCAGCTCCTTGTGGTTGGCGTGGAATCCGATGCGCTGTACCGACAATGCGACGACATCGACATCGGTGCTGGCCGGTTATCACCGGTGTCTCTCTATGGGGGTTGAAGCTAAGAGGATCGCTCGAGTCCATGGACTTCTCGACCTTGAGTACCTTGGCGACCCTCGACCTCTCGCACAACCAGCTCGCTGGGAGCATTCCTTCAAGTATCGAGCATCTTAGAGAGCTCCATGCTCTATTTCTGCATGACAATCAGATAAGAGGCTCAATTCCACCTGCTTTAGCAAACCTCACAAAACTCACAACCCTGTGTCTTTCCAATAATAAGCTTGTAGGATCAGTTCCTTGAGAAATTGGAAATTTAGGGATGCTGAAAGAGCTCAATATTAGAGTTGACACAGCTAGTATAGGAAACTTGACACAGCTAACAACTCTTCATCTTCATACTAACAAGTTCATCGGACCCATCCCTTGGGAAATAAGGAATTTAGTAAAACCTGGAGGATTTGCAACTCGGCTTGAACAAACTTACAGGATCCATACCAGCATACTTGGGAAATTTGACGAAGCTCAGGGCCTTGTATCTCTGGGATAACAACTTGTCTGCCCACATCCCTGAATAACTAGGTCGTTTGATCAACTTGGAGGAATTGGCGCTTTCTCACAACACACTATCAGGCCACATCCCTCCAGAACTAGGTCATTTGACCAACTTAGAGAAATTGGGGCTTTATGAAAACAGACTAACATGCCACATCCCTCCAGAACTAGGTCGTTTGATCAACTTGGAGATATTGTGGCTTGATGACAACACACTAACAGGTCCAATCCCAAATAGCATAGGGAATTTGACTAAGGTCACTTCCATAGATTTAATTTTTAACCAACTTTCTGGACACATTCCTCCAAAAATTGGCAGGTTAACGAGATTGGATACGTTCCAAGCTTCTCATAACAATCTCTCTAGTGACTTGCCATCAGGTATTTGTGGGAGAGGCCAGCTGCAGCATTTCACCGTCGATGGCAACGACTTGGTTGGTCCCTTGCCTACAAGCTTGCTAAGCTGTAGAAGCCTAGTAAGAGTTCGCCTTGAGGGAAATCAGCTCGAAGGAGATATCTCCAAGATGGGAGTTCACCCGAATCTTGTCTATATTGATATCAGTTCAAATAGACTATTTGGTCAACTTTCTGATGGTTGGGGCGAGTGCCGCAACCTTACCATGTTGCGTGCCTCAAACAACAATATCACATGATTCATACCACAAAGCATAGGGCAATTATCACTGTTGCAGATACTTGATGTTTCCTCAAATAAACTTGAAGGGAATATTCCACCAGAAATTGGTGGTCTATCAGTACTGTTCAATCTAAGCCTTGGTAATAACTTGCTTCAAGGAAGTATTCCAGAAGTAATTGGCACATTGAAAGCATTGGAGTATCTGGATTTATCTTCAAACAACTTGAGTGGGTCGATACACAGGCCCATTGAGCATTGCTCCAAGCTTCGCACTCTGAAGTTGAGTCATAATCACCTCAATGGCAGCATTCCAATCGAACTAGGGATGTTGGTAAACATACAAGATTTGTTGGATCTAAGTGACAATTCATTCAAAGGCAAGATACCAAGTCAGCTAGGTAGCCTGAACAAGCTTGAGAACTTGAATCTGTCACACAATGCATTGAACGACATCATTCCGTCATCATTTCACAGCCTAGTCAGCCTCTTATCCATGGATGTGTCATACAACAAACTGGAAGGGCCGATTCCATGAAGTGTGTTCTTTGAAGATGCTCCAATTGAAGGGTTCTTGCACAATAATCAACTATGTGGTGTAGTTAAAGGTTCGCCTTCTTGTGAAATTACTGAAAATCGTGGACATCCAAAGTTGTTTTACTAGCTATAATTCCTACTACTATAACTCTTGTGTTCATCACCACAGTAGTAACACTATTGAGATATGAAAGGCAGAAATATAGCGCAGGAAGTGGTAATGACTTGCAGCAGACAAAGTTATTCGCCATCTGGAACTTTGATGGACAAGATCTGTACAAGAAAATTGTTGACGCCATGGAGAATTTCAGTGATAGTCACTGCATTGGAACTGGAGGTAGTGGGTTAGTGTATATAGCTGAGTTACCTAGTGGTGAAATATTTGCGGTGAAGAAGATCCATCTGATGGAAGATGATGAGTCATTTGATCATGAAATAGATGCATTGATTCATATTCGGCATCGGAACATTGTGAAGTTATTTGGCTACTGTTCTACACCTCGGGGAAGATTTCTGGTGTACGAATACATGGACAAAGGAAGCTTAGCAGAATCTTTAAAGAACAAGGAAAGTATAGCTGAATTGGATTGGATAAGAAGGTTAAATATAATCAATGATGTTTCTCATGCTTTATCTTACATGCATCATGATTGCTTTGCACCGATAGTCCATAGAGACATATCAAGCAGCAACATTTTGCTTGATCTGGAATTCAGAGCATGCATCTCTGATTTTGGTATAGCCAAAATACTATCTGCGGATGATTCAAACTGCACAAGGTTTGCTGGGACAAAAGGGTATCTTGCCCTAGGTAAAATGAACTCTATTTCTGTTAGATCTGTGTGTTGTAATGCTTTCTTTCTCATCCGATCAAATATGAAATTTGTATGTTTGTTCTGCTAAGGGTGCCAAGCAGTAGCGAATAACATACTAATTTGTACAAATATCCTTTTTTTGTTTAATCAGTTATTCTATCATAGTTTTGTTTATCAACTACACTTTGTTTGTCTGTACTCTCTAGTCTGTACAATCTACATTGCCAACAGTGATTGAGCCGATATGTTTAGCAGTTGGGTAATAATAGACCATTGTTGTCTGGTCCTCTAGATTCAGTTTCTTGAAGTGTCTGAGAAATCTAACCCTTCAATATTGGTGTGGCAGAGCTTGCATACTCAACAAGGGTGATAGAGAAACGCGGCGTCTATAGTTTTGGAGTGCTCACGCTAGGGTTGTTCATGGGACACCATCCAGGTGATTTTCTTTCATCCATGGCCGATAAGAGTACATCACTCAATGATTTGTTGGACATCCGGCTCCCACTCCCTGCGGCTGAGGTCGCAAGAAAACTATTCAAAGTGATCGTGTTTGCTGTTCGGTGCATAGAACCAAATCCATCACGCCGTCCAACAATGCAACAAGCAATCAAGGTGTTCACTGCAGCTGGAGGACCTGATAATCATGTTGATCATCTGCATACTGGCATTGTTATCCTTGCCTTCTTGTCGTGAATGTTCTTAGCAAATTGATGTTTTTTGCGTCGATTAGACACTGTTTGTAATAAATCTTCGGTACGACAGTTTGCGCCACGTACTATTTATGTTAGTTGTAAGCGATGGAGAATAACCAGCTAGTAGCTACCTTTAAATTTTTGCATAGCAGGGCCCCTGCTATGTCTTCAAGGCAATATTAATATTTCATTTTTATCCTCTGTTGGACGATGTAGGAGCCCATTCAACTGGTAATTTCATATGCCTGAGTTATATTGGCATGCTGATTTCTTTTACGCTGTGGTTGGATGTAGGAAAAATTGCTTGGAATTGAATTAGGCTGGAAATTCCAAATCCAAGATGGAAAGGAAATGGGCTCCAATTTGAATTCTATTGTTTGGATGTGCATGGAATTTATTGTTGGAATTAGAGGGTAGCACTCAATTCCAATAGCTGTTTGGATGTACAAACGATGGAATTGGATGTTTTTTGAGTTTGGACAATGTAAACTTTTGTACATGTATGAAAAAAAGTATTATGTGTATATTTGAATATATATATATATATTATTTTACACATATAATAACATTAAAATGTTCTGAATCAGGTCAAAACAATAACACAAGTAGAAATAAATATGGAAAAAGGAAGGATGCCAGAAAATAGTTTTAAAGTACCAAGAAAACAACATGGATAATAATTTTGGTAGTTTATGTCTCTTACACATAGCACAAGTAGATAGTTTTATGTCTCTTACACATAGCACAAGTGGATAGTTCGCAAACAAGAGTCCATACATCAACTAAACAGGATAGTAACAATTAATAGAAGGTCAAGAGCCATGGCTTCCTTAACTCCTCGGGTAGCGCCATGAGTGCTTCAAACAAACGCTCATTGACGATCAATTTTCCATAAGCTCTCAGCATATCACTATCTTCCAAATCTGGTACCTTCTTTAGTGCAGGAAGGATTTCTGTTGGAGGAGTCACTTAGGCATAGGAAGTGGCTCGGTTGTCTTCAAAGCATCATCAAAAGACATCTTCATCTTTCCCATCATGCACAAGATAGCATCCCCAGTGCGTTGCCTCTTCTGAGGCACCTCAGGAGCTTCTTCAACAACAGGTGTGTCTTGTGGTTCTTGAACACATTCAGCTCCTGTCCTAGCACCGGCACCGGTCGCATGATCATTTGAATATATGACATTGATAGACTCCCAATTGTGCACTACCTTGTTCCTATAGGCACGTGCTTCCTTGTTAGCCTACTCAAAACACACAAATGAGATGATATTAAAGTTGCAAAAATAACCACGAAATAAATTTGGTGTTAAGTACCTTCACATATCGAGACCACACTTCTTCACTATCAACTGACACCATGTTCTTTACCCAATCCCATCCAAAGCCACTCTATGCAAGCATCTTGGTAATGATCTCATACTGCTTGTCAAATGTTTTGATTCTTCCTGTTATGTTTTCCTTTGTAATGTCAACATCACATGGATCCTTGACATGCTTAATGCAAGCATTATACACATGTGGCTTCCAACCATTTTGAGCACGGTCACCATTGTTGTGATGCTCAACAAGGACGGCCAACAACGCCGTGTCCATCTCAGGAGTCCATGTAAGGAAAACTCTACTTTTTTCCTTTTGTTTCGACCATGCTTCTACAAGTAAAATAAATGAATGTGCATAAAAGTAAGAACAAAAGAGAAAGCTCGAGTAAGGTAAACATATATATTAGTACGAACAAAAGATGAAGCATGTACAACCCATAACACACAAGGCACCATCACAGCCAGCATGCTAACACACAAAAAATGGCACCATCACCAAGCTAGCGCAAAAAAAGGCACCATCAGCTAGCTATCTACTCCACCGGTACTTATCTACTCGATCTCTAGTTCTCCATGCGCCACAAGGTACTCAACATACATCTCATCCGCAAATTGCTGCCTAAAATTGGACCATGCATTTGTTTGTTGGACACTTCTAATGAAAGTAGCATCATCTGCTGGTTCAGGAGTCATAGCCGCTAGCTCAGCGTCGACTTCCGGAAGCAATAAATTATCTCTCATATGCTGCCTATCCCTTGCATAGTTGTGTAACACACAACACGCATTAATAAGACGAATCTGCAAATATTTAATTTATCATCAAAGAAGGAACACATGATGCCCATATGAACAATCAAATGGACATGTGTTACCTGGTTCTCTATGTCAAAGAAAGAACAAGAACACAAGATGGCCCATTTTTTCTTGAACAAGCCAAAGGTTCTCTCCACAACATTTCTAGCACAAGCATGTCGCAAGTTATACAACTCTCTTTCGTTTTGGGGTTGTTGTTGACTTGCCACCCACTCTTTCAAGTGGTACCGAGTGGATCTGAATGGAGATAGAAATCCAGGTCCATTGGTATAGCCAGCATCAACATGATAATACTTTCCTATTGACAAGTATGTAAGTTAGCTAACAAGTACATATGAGAAATGAAACGCAAAGAGAAAGAGTCATACCCTATGGTACAACAAATGCATCTTCGCGATCGATTCTCATATCATCTTTTAGCACTCTCGAGTCTGATGACGAACCCTCCCAACCAGGTAGAACATAGAGAAATTTCAGGTTCCAGTCAACCACACCTAGCATGTTAGTGCTGATATCTTGGTGGCTATTCCTATACCTCCCTTTGTCAGCAGCATTAACAAACACCGGAATATGACACCCATCTAGTGCTCCAAGTGCATTAGGAAACCACTTCCACTTGTAATCATCGGGAGGGGTGATAGAAGGATCGGGAAGCTTGATAAACTCCCCGGTTAGAGACAGGATGGCTGATAGCACAGTAGAGAAATGCCTACTGATAGTCTCTAAAGAACGCTGGTACGTGCCACCCAACATCCTCATTTTAAGTCCATGTCCAACAACTTGTAAGAACATAGCAACATTTTCTTCTACTGTCACAAACATGCTATCTTTGAGACCACACTTCTCACGCAACATAGCACAATGATCATGGAAGTTTCTTTTAGTTAAGCGTAGCTTATCATAGCAAGTTGTCTCGGACCCATCATAAGTTTGTTTTGATATATACTTCCGATATGCAACCTTTTCCTCATCATCATCGAAGCATCCGAGATTCCTCGGTGCCCTCTGAGAACTAAGATACACAGACGCTAGACATGACATTTCAAAAAGCTATATACTTCCGATATGCTTTGTCAACAATATCCTCTTTCTTTTTCTTCTTTTCTTCTCTTCGGTAATGTAGGCAACCAATTCTTGTTGAGACATGATGAAAAAAGCTACAATGCACACACCATTTGTCCATGAATTATTCAAAGCATTGGTACATAATAAACCATGCAGCAACATGTGTATAAATGACAAAGCAAAATCACAGTACAGACATGAAGTACGAGTAGATAATATACCATGGCACCACGGTAATTTGACCTCCTAAATCCCCTGGAAACCTGCATAGTTCAAAGAAATCATACTTTAGCAACACACAAAATCGAGCTCTTAAATTCGAGGATCTGGACTGCATCTAAGGAGCTACAGTGAACACCACAAAAATTCTAGTTCTCCTATGGACACCACAAAAATTAGAGCTTCACACGGAGGGGATGGCGCCACTCTCGCCATTGTTCCACTACCACCGTCATTCCCCTGTGAATGACCTATTCCTACCACAAATCCCTGACCGAATCTAGGGTTTAAGGGAGAGGTCATTCCATGGCCGAAGAACGGATGAAGAGGATGAGGGGGCGGATGGGAGGGCGAGGAGGGAAGGGAAGGACGGTGGAGGGAGAGGAGGCCGGAGAACAAGCCGCCGCCGCTGTCGGATGCTTCAGGGGAGTCAGGAGCGAGATGGAGTCGTGGCGCAGGGGAGCTCGTCAGGAACGAGCGAACAGGTACGCGGGGTGGGGGCTGCGGGGCATTTCTGAGCCTTTCCCAGCTCGTCCGCTCGGAAACCTCGCGCGAGGGGTGGAGGTGTGCTGGTGGCTCGCTTGGAATTGCGCCAAGTTTTCCAAGCCCAAATCTTGTACCACCCCAAACAACAGAATTTGTCCTGGCAATTCTAGATTGCCAATTTCAAGCTGTTTTTCCCACATCCAAACAGGGTGTAAGTGTTGGAAATATGCCCTAGAGGCAATAATATAATGGTTATTATTGTATTTCCTTGTTCATGATAATTGTCTATTGTTCCTGCTATAATTGTATTAACCGGAAACCGTAATACATGTGTGAATACATAGACCACAACATGTCCCTAGTAAGCCTCTAGTTGACTAGCTCGTTGACCAATAGATGATCATGGTTTCCTGACCATGGACATTGGGTGTCGTTGATAACGGGATCACATCATTAGGAGAATGATGTGATGGCCAAGACCCAATCCTAAGCCTAGCACAAGATCGTGTAGTTTGTATGCTAACGCTTTTCTAACGTCAAGTATCATTCCCTTAGACCATGAGATTGTGCAACTCCCGGATACCGTAGGAATGCTTTGGGTGTACCAAACGTCACAACATAACTGGGTGGCTATAAAGGTGCACTAGAGGCATCTCCGAAAGTGTCTGTTGGGCTGGCACAAATCGAGATTGGGATTTCACACTCCATGTAATAGAGAGGTATCTCTGGGCCTACTCGGTAGGACATCATCATAATGTGCACAATGTGACCAAGGAGTTGATCACGGGATGATGTGTTACAGAACGAGTAAAGAGACTTGTCGGTAACGAGATTGAACAAGGTATCGGGATACCGACGATCGAATCTCGGGCAAGTACTATACCGGTAGACAAAGGGAATTGTATACGGGATTCACTGAATCCTTGACATCGTGGTTCATCTGATGAGATCATCATGGAACATGTGGGAGCCAAATGGGTAACCAGATCTCGCTGTTGGTTATTGACCAGAGAGATGTCTCGGTCATGTCTGCATTATTCCCGAGCCCGTAGGGTCTACACACTTAAGGTTCGATGACGCTAGGGTTATAGGGAAAGTA